AAAAAAAAAAAAAAAAAAAAAAACACATCATAGTAAAATTAATACCTTCTCTGCTTCGCATCGAAGCTAAAATACTGTTCAATATAAACAGTGTAGCCACTTGTTCAGTTACTGCTCGTACTTCCATCTCGGATATCTAATGACGTGAAGGTAGACTAAAATCCTAATGAGTAAAGTCTACTGTTACTGCATTCTGCACTGCAGTGCTCCTCGTGCCGCAATAGTTTGTCGATTCGTTGTTTCTTAACATGTTTTTTTATCATTATAGTCGTTGTATTAGACTGTGATTATTCATTATGAATTAGTTATTTAAGTTGTTGAACTACAATTTCGATAAAAATTTAGCTGAATTAATATTGTTATATTGAGATTTAAGTTATTATAGTGTTCATCAAAGATTATTTTCAAATATTAAATTATTTTATAATTTCATCTTTGTATCATCAGTGTAATGTTTATGAGTAAATGATTACTTTATCTCGATATATTCTTGTGTAATTTAGGAAATATATCACAATTATGAATGAAGCAATATAACATTAACTTTGGATTATTTTTCAAGTTCAATCTACTAGCAATTTCAGGTTTGTTGATTTTGTAAAGTTAATTTTAAACTTATAGTATTAACAGTCTTGTGATTTTTTTTTGAATTCAGAATAAACATTTCAAAAAATAGTTAAAAAGTTTTCAGAATATGTATTTAAAAATTGTTAAGAAAAATGTATATTCAAAATATATTTTTAATATTTGAAAAATGATTCAAATACTTTGAGAGCAATAAAAAAAATACTCTACTTAATGTAAAATAATCAATACAGATATAAAGTAAAATTTTTATAAATTTTCTTAAAAGCATTTATTATAAATTGAATTTTTGTATTTTACTTGGCGTTGTGATAATTTTCGCCTGAACGATTGAGCACCGGTCAGTTCTAAGATAAATTTTATTGAAGGATTAGGTTATTTAGAAAATAAGACAAAATAAACTGAAATGGCTATGCAATATAATTATATTTTATATTAAACAATTACAAAAATAAAGGATAACATTAAAAATACAATAAATTTATATATAATTAAATTTCAACAATTTAGAAATATAATTGACATACTGGCATCATAGTCAAATGAGTTCCAAAAATAGGTAAATGATAATAAATATTATTTGCACAAGCAAAAATAATAAAACTAAAATCCTTTTTTTCATTATTTTGGTTTAATTATCTAAATATCCAATAGGTTAATAGATAAAATTATTTATAGTATTTAAATATAAAACAAAACAAAAAAAGTATTTTAATGTTTTTATTCAAATATTTTATAAGACTGAGTATTAAGTTAATAAAATAAAAATATTATTTAATTAAGAAAATATGAATTGTTTTTTGACAAGTTTTATAATTATTTATATTATAACATAAAAATATTCTATAATTCAAAGTACCATAAGAAAAATTCTCATTTTGTATTTTATGTTTATTTAAATAATTTATTAACACATTACTTTGTTTTAAATTTTGAAGTTTGCTTTAAACTTCCAATTGGCTGTATATTTTCTCATTTTTATATGAGAATACATTTTTTATGCAGGAAAATAAGTGTAAAGAGGAAAAAAAAAGTATAGGCGTAGGAGTAATAGTAACTGAAAACCAGTTTGGTTTTTTGCTTGGAAAGTCAACAATGGAACTGTTATTTTGTATAAAACAGCCAATAGAAAAATATAGAGAGAAGAAGAAAAGCTTCGTATGATGTTCATAGATTTGAAGAAGATATTGACAGTGCTGAAGAGGTTTTAAAGTAGTTTTTAATGACGAAAGGAATCCTAAATACATATTTTGATGTAATAGAGGAAATGTATGAAGGTACTATGGTAAAAAGTGTGTGCTGAAAAACAGTATTTCAGGGTAGGTGTGTACCAAAGTTCTGCTTTAAGACTTCAACTATTTTACATAGTAATTGTTAAAGATTTATTAATTTATTACATAAATGACATCTATTTCATAACTAAAATATTAATTTATTTATTTCAGTTATAAATCACAATCACATTTTAAGAAAAAAATTTGAATTTCTTTAATTTCTTCAATTACCAAAATTATTAAAATATTTACATTATGATAAAAAAAATGTATTAATGTGCAAAGATTTGTTCTGTAATATTAATGAAATAAGAAATATTAAGTATTTCTCATTACATTTAAAAAAAGTGACTTACATTTATGTTGTTGTTTTTAATTTTTAGTAATACCTATAATGGCTTCTTATTAGTTTAAAATTAGTATTAAAATAATATTTTGATTAGTTATATACTTGAATATTGGAGTGTAGTTAATAAAAATGTAGATCCTGTTAAAGATTTTCCCTATTTAATTTAACTGTGTACACTAAAGATTAACTATCCCTGATCACATTTTTTTTAAATGAGGCGAGATTATTTTCAAAAAATTGGGAAGTGGGATAATTTACATTTAATGTACAGAATTGTTATTATTATTTTTTTTGGCAAAACAGTACTGAAAAAGTATGATTTATTTTCTCAAAAAATTTATTTATTTATTTATTTATCTTCCGAAAAATATTAGTTTAAATTGCTAAAAAAGTATATATATAAAAATAAATAAATTATTAGATTTAACAATATTTTGTGAACCCAACTTCCTTGGAAAACAGCTATAGCCTTGCATTAAAATAAAGTTTTCGACTATAAAATTACCTTTAGAAAATGTTACATTAATAGTTATATTTTAGTTCATAAATTATTAAATAGTCATTAAAAATTTAATATAAATATAAGTTCACATATATTTGTATTTGAATAAAAAATTTTTACTTGGAGCGCATTATTTGAATTCAAAGTTTTTTTTATGGGGCTTTAATATTATCAGAAAAAAAATTTATTAGTGGTTAATGGGCCAAAAAAAAAGTGGTCTTCAATTCAATATACGAAATATCACATAAATTTTCTAAAATAACTATTATCATTGTCAACCTGAGATACACGGGATTGTAATATTATTGATTATTATAATTAATAATATTTTAAAACAAACAAATAAATTTTATTTTAGATTATTTTTTAGAGTTAGTTTTTAGTTTATAATAAATTGATAAACTGTTTAAAATAATAACACCCGGAGGATAAAGATAAAGTACTCATATGTTGTTTATATTTTTTGGCGTCTATGACATTTGGTTGTGTATAATATATAGTGAGTCTTATGACTAATAGTAATTTATTTTTAGATACATTTTTTATTTCGTGTAACTTATTATTCATATTTATATCGCAAAATTAAAAAATAATTAAATTCCATGTTTAAAATTGATAAGTTTTCTCATGTACTGTCTTTTGTTTTGTAAATGACGTGTTGTAATGACGTCGCCAGTTTATTTACTATGGACGTATAATAACATTATGAACTACATTTATTTCAATGTAATTATTATTATATTTTATCTCTCACGTGTTGATGCCCTATCCTTCCTGCCTAATGTTCCAGTTCGATCAACTTGAAATTATAATAGAACAATGAGTATGGATGTATATTAAATGTATATCGTTTTCATCGTGATTATCTTTTTTTCTTTTTTATCAAAAAATATTATACTATAACTATTAATACAAAATATACTTAAATTTAGTCTGTTCTGTGCTATTAATCTATTTAGTTACAAAATTAATTTAAATTTATTAAAAATGTTAAACATATCATCATTATTTTGACTTTATAAAAATTTGAATGCGATTACTTGTTTTTCATATAAACAATACTTGTTACTTGTACTTGTTTTTCAAACTATAAATTTTCTTTTAAAGAAAATTGACAATATTAATTAATTAACACGATGAAACATGAAAGAAATTAACATTTCTTTGTTAGGAATTATAAATAAGTTATTTTTGTCGTTTCGAAATTGGATTAAAGAATTTGGACATATTTTGGTTCCAAGCCAACAATTTGCACTTCAGTGATGTTATCTACGATGTAAAACTAAGAATTTTAGTGATTTTATTCCTAATAAGATTTGAACAAAGACTAATAGTATATAAGTTTTATGTATTTATTTTTAAAACCTTGAGATAATGTATTAATAAAAGAATATAAGCTAGTATGTAACATTAATTATGTAGTGATTTGAATGATTACCATTGTTTTATATGACTAGTTATTATGTAAAAATGTCCAAACAAAACGCAACGTTGATCTTGAATAACATCTGAGAATGCCTTTTATTAAACATATGAATATTAATATTATTATATGTTTTATCATCGGATAAAACATTGTTTCGTACTACACAACCTTCATTTTAATCAAATTATTGTCCCTTATAAATAAAATGCTGACTGTTCTTTAAAGTATCTTTAATTCTATTTTGTTATAAAAGTAGGGCAAAAACCACAAGACCGCTATTTTTATTAAAAGAACTACTGTTAATGATTTTCATATTTTTCTTTTCGTGTTATAACTATGCTCTATTAAATACATTATTATTATTTTAGATCGCTCTATTTAAAATGTAACACTAATAGTATTTAAATTTAGTATAATGTACGTGATGTTTATTTTATACATGTATTTAAATAATTATTTATTTAATACTTAAATCATAACAAATATCGTTTATAAATAGAAATATATCTTTTTTATTAAAAAAACTTGTTTACCTTGTAGTTTGAGTTTTTATAATTATATTTAATTATAATAACACACATATAATGATTTTCAATATTGTAATTAAATCAGAGAATTAATTTTTTTTTAACTTTTAGTATTAGGTAATTCATTTATTGTCTTATAGTGAATTTCAATATTTATTAAACATTTTTCATGAGTTATATTTATTAACTTTATTATTTTATTATAAATATATAAATTTGGAATGTTATTCTGTTAGTACTAAAAAATAAAAGTTCATATTGTAGAAAAAAAATTCCAAAAATCCTTTACGATATAAAAGATTGTCTCGTTAAATTTTTTGCGTAGATAGAGCTAAACTAATATATATTATTTAACATATTTGATCTGATCAAATAATACAATTAAATTTTTGTTAAATTTATATGAATTAATTGTATTACGACGGCATAATATCCTAATTAGAAGTATTTTTATTAGCGTAAATAATATATAATTATTTTTCATGGCATTTAGGTTTTGTTCATGTGTTGATATTTTTCAAGGCCATTTTTGTGTATCTTATTGTTGATTGTTCTCAGTTTTAATAATTAATATGGAATCTGCAGAATCATCAGCAAAAAAGAAAGTAAATCTCGCCCATTCTATCAGTGATCTCTCTTTAATCCTAACGTGTTTGGAAATCCTGAATCATAGTATAAAAATGTTTTTTCTGAATTTCTCGATGTGCATTCAGTATGTTCATAAGGATAGACAAAATTTTCGAAAATATCAGTTTATATTTAATAATTTAATGGAACTAATTACTGTAAATTATAACTGAACATTTTGTTCAGACTGTTTAGGAATGAAATTATGCGGTCTGTTTGTTCAGTTATCTTCGCTGTACTAAATACTAAATATATTTTTTGTTCCTATACTGATATTTAATGGTTATTTCACCAAGATTGGACAAAAATAGTACAATAATTTATAATTAAGTTAAACTTTTCATCTTAACGTAAATATTTAGACTTTACGTGACTTAATATTAATTTGATTTCTCTTGTACATTTGACGACAAATTAACGTATACTTTTGGTAATTTTCATTAAATAACTTTTTTAATGAAATTTTAAATATTATAAAAAAATGTTAATAATTTGAGATGAAAAAGTTTTTTTTATTGTATATTACGCAAAAATGATAATTACTTTATATTTTTATTAATATGGTTGTCTCCATGGCAACAGTATGTATCTCGATTTTTTTAAATTATTCAAAACGTAGAAAAAATACACTATTTTTGTATAGCTATCAATAGAAATAGGGTTTTAAAACTACCTTATCTTAATAAATAAAAACTCTTAAAATGTGTCAAATTGGTGAATATGCATTTAAAAAAAAAATCTTAAATTATCGAGATACGCGGTTTTGTCATAGAGACAACCATATCACGTAATTTTCACCAGTTTACATAAAAATAAATAAATGTTTAAAAGATAAATAACATAAAACTATACCATACATATTTTATGTTCAAAAACTAAATATTTATTGTATAAAAAAAATACTGGGAAGGTAAAAATTTAGCCCTTTAAAAATCTTATCACACTATAAATATGAAATTTTTCCAAATATACTAGCACTTCACTATATTTTATTAGAATAATTTGATATTTGTATAGATTACTAAACAAAATATTTCCAGGTATCTGTACCTTTAAATGTTTAAAATATTTGATTAAAAAATATGCTGAGGAACACCTTTTTTGAAGAACGCAATCGTATGGTGTCCTAGATAGTTGGCATTCATCAATAGCAGTATGTGTGGCACAAAGCCAGGCGACATTTTCCGGTCACTATTCTTATCTAACTATTTCTTAAAACACTGGAAATTTGAGAATAAAAAAAAAATTGTAATGCGTCGTTTAAAAAGCGTGCTAACTTATTAATTTGCTAAACAATTAAACAAATTATTAGAGGTTGTTTAATATCTGTCAGTTTATTTTTTAATGAATACTTCATTGATAAATAACAATTAAGAAATTTAGGTCATTATTTATGATATTCTAATTCGGTATTTGGCGACACTATATTTTAGGTGTTATATTTTGGTTACACTTATTGGCGCGAAGATATAAAATATGTTTTTTTTATCATATTTAAATTAGATATGTGTATTATTAAAATTTTAAACAATTAAAGTAGGGTCTTATTATAATAGGATATATAAGTATATTTAAAATTTATTAAAAACTTAAAAAAAATTTTAATCACATTACAATTTAGTTTTATTGCACAAATAATTTAAGATTAACACCACTCTACACAAAAATTCTTAAGTTAGACTTCTGAATGTACTAAATGTAATTAGTCGTCCCCAAATAAAGGAATAAAATAGTAATAGCCTATTACTATTTTCTTAAATCATAGAGAGCATAAGATATTTTTTATTTAAGCTTATAAATACTAAATATATTATGCTAACGGCTATAAACATTAAAAATATTATTATTATTATTATTTTAGTAATTTAAAGAATGGCTTCACATTACCGCAAAAGTTTGCCTTCAGCTGATGTAGCATTAGCATCCGATATTTTTGATAGATTTTGTACAGCCACTACAATGAAGACTATACTTGGCCATTTCCGACATTTGTGCGAAATATTACGTATCAAGCCTACCAATTTTCCTCAATTTTATCCTAAATTAAGGGTAAGTAATGTATATTTAAATTTTTTGTATTAAATACACTTTTGATTAATGTTTTTATTAATTTGGTTTATATAAAAATCATTTAAGGAGTGAATAAGGATGAATCAACAATTTATTAGTAGTGATAACATTAGGGCCGTATCTAGGTTTAGTTAAGTTACTGATAAACTTTTAGAGGTGCATCCCTCCAAAAAAATATTATTTATTTTTCAAGTGTTAATATATGTAAATTTTTTTAATATAATAATACTTTTCTAACTTAAAAAAAATTCGAAACTTGCGTCCCTGGCCTTTACTCTCTTATCATCCCAATACCCCTAGATTACATGCATAATAGCCAAACATATCAAATACTAACTTTGAAAATTTTTAAAAATTAACCAAAAATAATTTATTTTTTACTTTGCTTTAAAATTAATAAACTGAGTGGATTTTAAGGCGTGTGCCGTTTGGAATATTTTAGTTGATATAGTTGTAATTTGCAATATAGATGAATATCAAAAGAGGCGTTGAAATTATTATGAAATTTAAACTTATTTTTATCGCTTATGAGTTGTATCGTTAAAAATATAACGATGTTGTCCTTCTCTGTACATAAAAAAAACTATCCCTCATGGTTTTATCCAGTCTTCCTAACTACTTAAACGTTGTACTACAGTTAATTCAAATTATAGTATTTGTTTAGAAAGTTTTTTTTATCTCATTTAAACAATTTAATTTCATTATATAAAGTTATTCAAACAATAACAATTATACTTTTTTTTTTTTTTTAAATTATTGAAAATAGACTGTATTAAGCAGCAAGGGATAAACATTTTACGGCTTGTATGAATACTTAATAATGAATTAAGACGTAATAAAAACAAATTATACTTATTTATATTGAAACATGTAGTTTATTTGTTTTTGTTTTCTTCATAGCTATGTATGTTTAAATATTTTTACTACTTTTATTTAACATATTATAATATATATGTATATAGCCTAGCCCTGTCTATGGTATAAAACAATATAGCCAAACCCAACTTTAATTAAAAATTTTACTAATAGAACATCTCGAACTATTAAAACTATATTCAGTAGAGAACGATTATTTTTTAGATTTGCAATTTCTTAGAGCTTAATAAATTATCTTTTAAATTGTTTACTTTTTATTAAATCGTTAATTTTTCTATTAAAACACCACGATAGTAATCTAATATAATAAACTGATACAAGTATTATATTATTTATATTATTATGAATACGATCGTATTAGATTATTATTCACTTAAAATATTTGCATAGTAAATCTTTACGCCATAATAAAACCGAAAAACTTAGTCTATCTATTTAAAATATTTATATTTCAATTGTTATGAATATATTTTTATTACATAATAAAATAAATTGCTTCCTGCTGAGTGACGTTAACGAATAATGGCTAGTTATCGATCCAATAAAATATGTATTAATACAACATTCACAAAAAAATTAATTGGCCTATTGCTACGACAATTGATAAATTAAGTATTAAGGGTCTTATTTTTTTAGATTTGATTAGATTACTTGAATTTATAAGTTATCGATTTTATGCAATAAGAGTCTTAGTTACGCCTATGTAATTGATTCTAAGATAACAGATCTTTTAAAGGACCTGGCTTGTGTTTTGATAAACATTATTACTCATAGATAGAATAATCAAAATTGTAAAATTGTGAAAATATTTTTGACCATTGTACGAACTGGATTTCTAACGTTCAATAAATTACTAAGGGTATATTATTTCACATAACTATATTTTTAAGTATTATTTATTTAAAATATAATTAAAAACATTAAAAAATATTTGTTTACGACTTAAAATCCTTTTAATATTTTCTTAATTAGATTTTAAAAAATTGCTTATATTGGATCAAACAAACTACTTGATAATCCTGTATACTTATTATCTACCTCAAAAAAAGGTGCATAATTTTAATTTATGTATATGATGTGATCATTTGAAGAGGGGGGATTATTAGCCCCTGAATATGCCATCTTAGGAGTGCTTATACTATTATAATGATATCAATTAATTTTAAGTACTATTTAAGTTGAGAATAGAATAGAAAGTTATATGAATCTTAAATTATTTTATTTAGTTAAAAAAAAAGTAAGTTTCTTTTTTTAAATTTAGAATGGCGAATTTCTCAAAATATCTCCGATTAAAATATTAATTAATATTAACTTTTTTAGACTATGTTATGTTCGTGGAAAGCAAAAGCATTATGGAATAAGTTTGATAAGAAAGCAAGTCATAAATGTTATAATCGTGGGAAAGCATGTATGAACACCAGGGTAAGTATTAAATATTAAAGAGCAATATTTTTTGTGACTAATTATTTTCTTTATTGTATAGGTATTAATTATTGGGTCAGGGCCATGTGGATTACGTGCAGCTATTGAAGCCCAATTGTTAGGTGCTAAAGTTGTTGTTGTTGAAAAAAGAGATCGCCTTTCCCGGCATAATGTGCTTCATCTCTGGCCTTTTGTAATTCAAGATTTAAAAGGCCTTGGTGCTAAAAAATTTTTTGGAAAATTTTGTGCTGGAGCAATTGATCACATAAGTTAGTTTAATTTAGCTTTAAAAATGTTTTGACTTAATTTTTGGTTATGCTTAATATATTTGGATTAAATAATATAGGTATAAGGCAACTTCAGTGTATTTTATTGAAAGTATCTTTAATTTTGGGTGTTGAAATTCATGAAGGTGTGAGCTTTGAATCCCTTTCTCCGCCAACAGATGATGATGAAAGTATGTTAATTTTATTTGTACAATAGAAACTTTTTATTCTTATAAAAAAATTGTGGTACTATTTAGCACAACACTAAAGAATATTTATGAAATTTTGACTTGTTAAAATTTTTTTACTTATTTCTGATAATTTATAAACCAATACAAAAAAAAAAATATCTTTTCAAATCAATTGAGTTATTGCTTAATAATTAATTATATGAAGAACTAAACAACAAAAAAGGTAACTTGGTTACTTTTAATTGGGTTATCTAATTAGTTAGATAAAGAAGATAACTATCTCAAGTGACAGTCAAGCAGCTTTGAAAGCACTCTGTAATGATCAGGTGAATTCAAAGCTGGTCCTCAAATGCAGGATAACTTTAGAATTACTATTGAGGTTCAACAAAGTTACACTAGCATGGGTACCAGAACATAACGGTGTCACTGGAAATGAAAATGCTGACTTTCTAGCCAGGAAAGAAGCAGAGAACTACCCAAGAATTGGTGCAGAGAACAACACAGGACAATCTGGTAGTACTTGGTAGTACCTAGACAATCTAAAATGTTTATCAAGACTCCTGGTCTACTGTTGGGTGATATTAATAGCATGACTAGACATCAAATAAGCACCTTGACTGGTCTACTGACAGGACATGGTCACCTACTTAAACATCTTAACGCAATGTCGTTATCAGAATCACCACTGTGCAGTAAGTGTGGAGTAGAAGAGGAAGACTTATTTCACATTATGTGTGATTGTAAAGCCTTGTCCATCCTAAGATAAAACTACTTGAGTAAACCTTTTCCTGAAAAAGAAGATATTAAAAACCTAAAACCCAGAGAGATACTTAATTTTGGCGGAAAGACATAACTCTTTGGTCATCTATAGGGGTGACTTTATGATTGGTAATGTATTAACACTTTGGTGATAACACTTAGGTGGATAAACCGAATCAAGACAATTCGGTATGAGGTGCGCACAATGGACCAACAGGTCTGAGTGCATGGGCATTATGTCCACCTCGATAATAACTAAAACTAAAACTAATTAGTTAGATAAAATATTCACTTCATAATGCCTTTAATAATATAAATGATCATATTATATATTCTTACTTATATATTTAAATAGAATTTGGTTGGAGAGCAAATTTTAGTCCTACCAATCATCCAATTTCACAATATGAATTTGATGTTCTCATTGGAGCAGATGGAAAAAGAAACACTTTAGAGGGTATTTTACCAAAAATTATGTATATATTTCTACATTTTAGTTTGATTATTAGATATCTTAATTTTTGTAAAGTTATAATTTAATTTGTGTCTTCTATATTTTATCCTCATATAAGTGACTGAATGGTTTAATAGTTTCGTTATTTTTTGAAAATTTATTAAAGATTATATAAACCTTTTAAAAAAATGTTTACAGTAATATAAAGTATATTAGTTTAAATTTTTCCTAACAATAATACCCATTAAAATATTTTACTTTTAATTCAAAATACTTTATATTTCTATAAAACATTTATGTCTTTTACTGAAAAAAAAATGTATATGTGCTCCCTAATCATGACTATTTATGTAAATTTTTGGAAAACTATTTAAATTGAAACAATAGTAGTCTTTTATTAAGCTTACCTGTGAATTTATTCACAGAGAAAATTAACCTCTATATTATTATTATTTAATCTGTTTAAACAATATTTTTGTACAAAATTTAGGTTTTAAGCGAAAAGAGTTTCGTGGTCGATTAGCTATTGCAATCACAGCTAATTTTATTAACAAACATACTGAAGCTGAAGCAAGAGTAGAAGAAATATCAGGAGTAGCTTTTATTTTCAATCAAAAATTTTTTAAAGATCTTTATCATGACACTGGTATTGATTTAGAAAATATTGTTTATTATAAAGATGAAACTCATTATTTTGTTATGACTGCCAAAAAACATAGTTTAATTGATAAAGGAGTTATTTTAAATGTAATTATTAAAAATAATATTTTTTATAAAGTAGTAAAGTTAAAAAAAAAATGGTCCTAAATTAAATTGTTTTTTAGGATTATGCTGATGTAGCAAAATTATTAGCATTAGAAAATATAAACAAAGAAGCACTTACTGAATATGCTAAAGAAGCTGCAAATTTTTCTACACATTATTCACTACCTCAATTAGAGTTTGCTCTTAATCACTATGGTCAACCAGATGTAGCAATGTTTGATTTTACATCAATGTATGCTGCTGAAAATTCTAGTCATGTTATGCAAAAAAATGGACATAAACTACTTACCACTTTAGTAGGAGATAGTTTATTAGAGGTATTTATGTAAAATTATAGAATTTCTAGTTTTATAACCAAAAATTTTATTACATTATTATTATAATTTTCTCTTTTTTCTAGCCATTTTGGCCAACTGGCTCAGGTTGTGCTCGCGGTTTTCTCAGTTCAATGGATGCTTGTTGGGCTATTCGTCGTTGGGGAGCTACTGATTCTAATCCATTACATGTTTTAGCTGAACGTGAATCAATATATCATATTCTAGGTCAAACAACACCAGAAAATTTGCATCGAAATATAGCTGGATATACCTTAGATCCACATACACGGTATCCAAATTTAAATACAAATGCAGTTGTTCCAGTACAAGTTGTTAACTTATTTGATTGTGATGATAAAACTGTCATTGAAAAATTTTTAAAAGCCCCAAGACAGTTTTCTAATTCAATTCAAGATGTTCCGAAAAAACGAAGGAGAAAAGGTAAATTAAAACCATTATATATTTTAAAAATAAAATAAATAATGTTCTAAGTTTTTATTTTATTTTTATACTTGAAAACCTCAAAACAGTTTGTTTGGCTGCGCATGATTCATCAAAAAAGGGTGAATAGTTTGTAATACACCAAACATTTATTGTGTGTTCTAACAGTATTGACCTAATTTTTTTCAATATAAAATACATTTGGATTAAAAAATTTTGCTTTTAAATTAACAGATCTACAGCTTCATTTTCATTTTTTTAACTAATTTATATATTTTAGAAAGTCAAGTTCATCAAGATACATTACTTATTTGGATCAAAGCTCAACTGGCGCCTTATGAATCGATACTTATTGAAGATTTTGCAAAGTCTTTTAAAAATGGTCTTGCATTATGTGCAATTATACATAGATATCGTCCAGATTTAGTAGACTTCTTTTCTTTATCTCCAATAGACGCTGCAAAAAATAATCAATTGGCATTTGATATTTTGGAACATGAGTTTGGAATTTCACCTGTATAAAAAATTATTAAATTATCTTTTAGCTTATTAATGTATATATATTTAATACAAAATATTTCCAGATAATGTCTGGTGATGAAATGGAACAATGTGATGTACCAGATGTTTTAGCATTATTGTCTTATTTATCACAAGTGTATGACACATTTAGACGAGAAATTCCTCATATTAAACATCCAAAATTGGTATCTTTCAGAAATATTTAAAAATTTAACCTATAATGTATAATTTTACTAATTTAACTTCATAATATATTTTATGTATTATAGGAAGACAGTGATCATGGTTCAGTATCACCTGCATTAAGTCGATTTAGAGTAGCTACTTCTAAAAATATGTTCCTACCGTATTCAAAATTATCTGTTCAAACAAAATCTATACCAATATCAAGAAAACGATCTGGAATTAGTAATATTTTGGCTATTGATAAAAGTACTATTTCATTACAGCGACGTAACAGAAAAAGACGCACAAATATTAGTAATGGTTCATTAGTAAGTGAAATTTATAAATTAATGAATTAAAAATATTTTCATTAGGTTTTTAGTAAAAAATGCATATATTTGTTTTGGAATTTACATTTATTTGATATTATTAATGGAAAATAAATTTTTGTTTAAATATGTTTTATAAATTAAAAAAAAAAGGTACAAATAAAAAAAAGATTGAATTTAAGAATGCAGCAAGTTTTTACAAAAGAACCAGAATGTGATGAAATATTAAATAATGATAATCATGAAGAATTTAAAGAACGTGCCAGAGAATTAGAAAGAAAATTATTTCCCAGTGTAAGAATAATGTGTTGTGATGTTTGAAATGTGATTTTGTAAAAAAAAATGTTATGTACCCTTTTTTAACATTTTTATTTGTGTTTTTATGTGTTTATAAAGTGAAAATATTCATATTAAGATTTAACACAATTTAATTGAAATACTAAAAGAAATGGTTAAGAAAAATGTCACTAGTTAGATGTATTACAACAAACTAAGAATAGTTTTATTTTTGTGTACTGTATTTTGTTATTTTATGTTAACTTTAATGCACTTTTATAAAAAGTAAAAGTTATTAATTGGTTGATAAATTTTCTATAATGGATGTGGTGCAAATAAAATATAATATTAATTTTAATCAATATTATTAAGTTATTGAATTAATATTCAACTGTTTTCCAGCCCCGAGATTCACGTGTGCATAGAGAAGTATCACCCCGTTATAAAATGGAAGAAGATATTTCAGTCAGAGCAAAAGAAATTGAAGCTAAATTAAAAGGAGGCCCAGCTCTTGATAAAAAACCAAAAGATTTATTAAGAGCTATTGGTGAGTATTAGTGTTATTAGCTTTGATGCGAAGCTGAGAAGGTATTAATTTTACTATGATGTGTTTTTTTTTGTATCTGTTACCACTTTTTCTCAGCTCTCACCAAACCGATTTCTTTACAACGATACGTCAAAAGATCACAAATCGTGTCTAGTCAAAGACATTATCCTCATAAATTGAAAAAATTTCCCTCGTTACCCGTAAATGGGGGAAACCTCCAAAAAAATTACAAATTTAAAAATCACTAATTTTTTCAATTTTTTTTACTTAAAACTGCCATAACTTTTTTAAAAATGAACATATCAATATAATTTTTTTTTTTTATAGATGCTTGATGTCTTTACCTATTATTTGGTATATTTTTTTTATAAATTTAACCTTTTACCTGCCCACAGGGGGGGATTCAAAATGACAACTTTTTCACAAAAAATTAAGTTATGAAAATGTTCCGGAAATACTGACATTTTTATATTTATCTTAAATTAAAGCTTATGTAATATACTTCATTATGGAAAAAAAAAAAATTCGGACTTTATTTTGTCTTCACGGTGAAAATGGCTATTGAATGTTAATTTTATGTGAAAATTCTCGATTATACTTTTTATATTTTTAACTTTATAATGCTATAACTTATTGAAAAGTGTATGGATCAACACAATTTTTTTATAAGAAATAATATTTATATACTTCTTTCATTTGACATACTTTTTTTTTAAATCGGACCATTTCCCTTAATACAGAGGGGGTTCAAAACATAAAAATGCATATAGAAAGTAGAAATTTTTCAACTTAATTTTTGAAAGTGTTCCGGAAATACTGACAATTTTATATATATCTTAAATTAAAGTTTATGTAATATACTTTAATATTAAAAAAAAAAATTTTGGACTTTATTTTGTTTTCATGGTGAAAATGGCTTTAAAATGCTATTTTTGTGTGAAAATTCTCGATTTTATTATTTAAATTTTTAACTTTATAATGCTATAACATATTGAAAAGTGTATGGATCAACACAATTTTTTTATGAGAAATAATATTTTTTAATAATCCTCTCTTTCATTCGACATACTTTATCTTTATCAGGATATTAATAAGGAACTAACTGATTATGAAGCTTTTGGAATAATCCACCAATTTTTTAAAATTAAACACTATCTAAAGATTTACATCGAAGCGTTTTTTTTTTATAGTGATTTTAATCACTGTCAGATATCATTATACTTGATCCAACTATGCCACGTCGCCACTATGCCGCGACCCCCCTGTGCTGGGTTTTTTTATTTTAAATCAAACAAAAATTATTAGTTAACTCATAACTTTGGATAATAAGGTATTGTTATTTTCTTTTTAACTAGATAGAGTTAAATAGAGATAAATTTATTAATTGTACATGTTGAATAAATACGTATATTTATTTTTGATTAATACTTTTTATTTAATATTTGTTAGGAAAAATTGATAAAACTGATTGGAATGTAAAAGAAATTGAACGAAAAATTGAAGAAAATAAAGCTTATGTAAAACACAATAAAAATGGTACTGAAAAAGTACCCAAATGGAGCCGCCCACAATTTGATGATAAAGTATTTATATAAAATTAAAAAAATTATTTAATTCATGTATTCTTTTAATAATTAAAAATAATAATAGCTTAGTGCTATAAAGAAGAAGCTGTATGTGAAAGGATACGAAAATGATGAGAGCAATAAGAAATATGTAGAAATTGACAACAACTTAAATAAATTAAACAGAAAAATAAAAGATGGAAATATTTTAGATCAAGGCCAAAGAGGTGCTAATAAAGTTTCTGCTATGGCTGCTCATCTAGCTACTATAAATAAACAACCAGAAAACATACTTCAAAAATCTGTTAGTAAAATCTATTTTTTGATCATATACTAAACTCAATTAGATTCTATTAGTATTTATGTTCAATTTCAAAATAATCTAAAAAAATATCTTNATATATATATATATATATATATATATTTTATGTTTCATCTTTATGATCAAATTTTAAACTATGTATTTTTATAATCCTTCTTTACAATGATTTTGAAAATTGAGTAAAATTTTTTGATCTATTTTTTATTGTAGGGTACTAAAAATTCTGTTGTAATTTCTCAAAGAGGAAGTGAAACATGCCATTTTTGCAATAATCGTGTTTATTTAATGGAACGTTTAAGTGCTGAAGGCAGATTTTTTCATCGCGGTTGTTTCCGTTGTGAATATTGTTTAATTACTTTGCGGTTAGGGAACTACATGTTTGATAGAGAAGGAAAATATAACAATAGATTTTACTGCTCTCAACATTTTGGATTGCCTGGTACTCAACAAACACGATCTCGACGTAAATATGAACAAAAGACTGAACCAGATATGAGTATTAAACAAGTTATTTTGAATAAAACTCCTGAAAAGGTAAAGCAATAGTAGTTTTTACAATTTTTAAACCATATTTTACTATGATTGTTATTTAGACTAAAGCTTCAATGGAGTCTTTAGACAGAGGGGAAACTCCTGAACGAGTAGAATTTGAGAATTTAGATGTAGAAGAAGATTTAGCTCATAGTGAAATGGATGAAGATGAATGGACAGATCGTAATTTTGGTGCTTCAGCAAATGAAATGCTTTCCTCAGATGAGTTATCTGATTTGAGGTAACTTAATTAATTTTTTTAATACTAATTAGAAAGTAGTTTTTTAATATTTGTGGTGTTATTTTAGTGATAGTGATGAAGTTCATAACCCAAAAATCAACATTCAAAACAAAGAATTAAAAGTTTTATCATCGGTTGCTAGTAATGAACATTTACCTCATAATATAGTAGAAGATGATGGATTAAGTTCACAAAATGAATCTGATGAGTCCCAAGATCGTTGTAGTTATAAAGAATTTGACAGTGATGGTAGATTTCTTAATTTAAAATAATCGTCTAGATCAAATTTTTAATTATTTAACTTAATTATTCAGATGATGAAAGTGACACTGCAACTGAAGGTGAGGAAGATATAAAAGCACGTGAAATGAGAAAAAAAGAGGTTTGTCTACGTATTCCAGAAGTATCAGCTGCTACTACAGATACAGGCTCAGAAACTGAGGTGATATGTCCTATTAATAAAATTTCTTGTGATAAATATTCAATTAAAAAAAATAAAATTAGTATTAAAAATAACTTGGATAACTATACACAAAAAGTAAACTGTAAAAATAATAATTCTTATTCACATCCTTCTTCAGTTGATGTAAATAATATAAAAGATGTCCCAATCATAAAAAATACTCCTGAGGAAGAAGAAAAGATTAAAAATGTTAAATATAAAGTTATTCTACCAACAATCGTGGTAAATGAAGAAATGGTCAAAAATACTAATGAAAACAAAAATAAAAAATCGATTGTTAATAATATTGAAAATTCAATTAAGCCAATTATTAATAGTAATGAATTTTTATCATGTGACTGTGATGATAAATCAGAAGACTATAAAAAGTACCTTTCAAAGAAGAAAAGCAAAAAAAAATTTTTTGATAAACATTCTTCTCATGAATGTGAACAACTAAACAAAAATATTTTAAATCTAAAAATAACTGATGAACCTTATAATAAAGAATTATTTATTGATAATGAAAATAATAACTCAATCTCTCAAATCTCAAGACAATCAATTAACAATACTGGTAATGTAATTTCAAATATTAATAAAAATTTAGGAAATACAAGTGCTCATCAAACAAGTGACGTATTGCCTAATATAAATATTGAAGTATCATTAAATATGAATAAAAATGATACTAGAACAACTAAACAAAGTGTAGTTAGTACAGAACCTTATCCAAAGTATACACCTACAGTGGAAAAGGCAATTAAAAAATATGAAAAAAGTCCATCTAAAAAAGAATGCATAGTTATGTAATTCTGTTATTAAGTACACTTATAAATATTGTTATACGAATATAATATAATAAAATATACTATGCAAGTATAAGTCTACAGGTTATATTCAAAATTCAATGAATTTATTTAACAAGCCTTTCTCTGCAGTATCATTTGGAAAAAAGAATCAGGTAAAACAATAACCAAATAAAAGCATTAGATGTCATGTGTTCATGTGAGTTTTTGTTTGTTTACAATTTCTAACCTAGTATTTGGTATGTTTTTGATTTAATACTATTTGTCATCTTATCATGATTTTTCTTGGGAAATCAAAGTAATTATTTTACATTAATTTTGGCAGGCATTTTATCATTAGAGAAAAATGGTCAGCTACATTAGTTCATTTTATGAAATGCATTTAACATAAAATATTAAAATCACTTTTTATTATCAATTCAAGTATTTATACATTTATAAATTCTAAAAATTCTATTTTTATCAGATTTACTATTTTTTTTATAGTTTAAAATATTACTTAATTAAATACTTATTTTGTTGAATGTAATTAATTGCCTTGAGATTACACTGCTCGATAAAAAAAATTGTCAGTTGCCGGTGTGTGATGGGTCATTTCTTAGTATTTCAGTGTCATTGGTTTTATATATTTTCTATGTTTGTAGCTTTCATATGATTAGCTATTACATTTTTTGATTTTTAACAGTTATTATAGAAGCTGAACTTTATATACTTACACACTTTCAAAAATTAAATATATTTGTTATCTCTAAAACAAGAGCTGATAGAGAAATTCTAAGGACATTATCAACAACCCCAAAATACTTTGAAATGATGCCTCACACTTCTGAAACTGAGATGTATTCTATATTTACTATGTATTTTTCAATAAGATATGTATTTATTAACATAAATTCATAATATAAATATAATTAAAAACTTTGAATATGATAATTTTGTATTTTAGGAGAAAGGCTTGTTGTATATGTATATGGTTTAGAATTAATTATAATTATCATTTCAATGGGCTTTTGTTTTTCAATATTAATAATTTTGTTAAACCATTACTATAATAGCTATTTTTGGGTTTTTAAGAATAAGCTTACTATAAAAGTAGTTTTTAAAAAATCTTAAAAAAAAAAAATTAATTGACTGTTTAATTTAATTTAATATTTTAATATTGAATTATTAATTATGATGAGTTTTATTTTGGCTCTGGTTAATTATTTGAATGCTATTAAGTTGTCATACTTAAAAAAATTGTTTTTTTTTTTAATAATCCTAGCAAATTTTATAAAATTCTTAATTTCTACATGTTATTTGGAATTTTACAGGTAGCTACTGATTATTACTCTACTAGTTCAGATGAATCTGCAACAGAAATTTCAACAGATTCAGAATTTGAACGTGATGATAAGACACCAACAAAACATAATATTCCAAATATTATAGTTAGTGAAAGTATTCAATCAAAAAAAGTAATTGAAGATATTAAAGTTGATCCATTAGTACCTGAAAATCCTAAAATAGCAGAAATAGTAAATCGAGTGGCTCATAATCGGCCAAATTTTGTACCATTTGCAAGGCCAGGTTATGAATTAAACAGAACTCAATCTACTGAAGGTATAGCTACTAAACGATCTTTGGAATTGAAAAAATTATATTTATTAGCTGGTAATGATAACGGCTTAGCTGTTAAAAAATCTGGATCTTCAGCAACTTTAGATACAAAATTTAAAAGTTTTGTTGATCAAATATCTGAATACCAAAAAAAATTGAATCCTGCACCTACTCCTAGTCCCACAATGCAAGCATTTTTACAGAATGCTAGTCCTATCATCAATAATAACGAAAAAAAGTTAAAGTATTTGTTAAATGATGATGATGACTTTCAACATGTTTGCTCAAAGAATTCAGAAGATACTACGAAAAAAAACAATGACAAGCAATTAAATAACAACGAAATAAATAATGTTAAAATCGAAGACATTGAAGTAGAAAATGAATTAGTAAGGCCTCATAGTCCAGTTTATGAAACTTCTATAATTGTTCCAGAATTTTGTCATCAAGTTAATGATGGTAAAAAAATAGAAATAAATTTCATGTCAACAGAAACTTCCAGTTCTTCAGAAAATGAGGATAAAGCTCCAGATATTGATTTTTCTAATGAAAAACCACTTATAGAAAATCATAGTTTACCAAAATTAGAATTTCACAACTCCCGAGGTGAACTCATTGATGAATTAGTTGAACCACCTTCTGCAGAAATTGACTCCAAAATATCTCATATTTATTCAGAAAATGGATTTAACAAAATTATCACAGTGCCCAAGTTGTCAAATGAAGATGATAATGTAAGGAATAGTGAAGTATTAAAGCATGTATCAACTACTGCTGATCTTTGTAAGACCAATGGAAGTGTAGCTGTAGAAACATCTGTACTCAATAGCAATGATATTAATAAAACTTCACGATCTTTATTGTGTAAATCAACAGATAATGTATCTAACATGGACGAAGAAGAACATACAATTGGAGGGCATACTGAAACCGAACTATCCGACTGGGCAAGAGATGATGATGTTGGAGTTTCAGAGGCTTGGGATGAATTTGTGCCAGTACCTATTAAATCGGTCACATATAGGAAACATCAACGGCCAAAATCCAAGAAAAAACTTAGAAATTCACCTAAAAAAAAACCAACTGAAGACACAAATGAGTATGGACATGTATGTGGTAAAATAGACAGTGATAATATAGAGTTTATGGATACTGTAAGTGATGAAAACAGTGATGAGCATGTGGCAGCCCTTAATCAGACACTGTTGCAAAACACCGGATACATAGAATTTGTTTGTAATCATGACATAGAAGATGAAGATGAGCAGAAAACTCCTGTGATTGAAACAATGAACTCCTTTTATAATGATAATGTTTCTGTGGATAAAGATGACAATGATACAACCACAAGTGACATGGTTACTGTAATAATGGACAGTGTTAAAATAAATCAAGATAAAAATGATGATGCTTTAACACCGATAGTTAATGACAATAATAAGACTTATTGTAATTATGTGCAACGACTACAAGAGAAAATTACTCCATTCAACAATATACGAGACTCTATTGATATCAAGAAAACAAAGAAGTCACCTGTTCATTCTATAAATGGTGTAACTATAACAGTAGATCCTTCTACAGTTATAGAATCTGTACAAAATCTTGTTGAATCCAATAAACTTATCGAACAAAATTCTACTACTTATAAATTACAACAGATAATAAAAGAAAGAATGAAAGAAAAAAATCTTGTCCATGACATGGTTATGAGCAAAATTCCTAGTAAATCACCTAACGAAAGAAAACAAAGACGAAATCGAACTTCTCCTTTTTCAACAGAACATTCTGTACATGATTTTGAATTTGTTAAACCACTTTCAGTTTTCCAATGTGCTACAGAAGTTAAAGCTCGCCCTGCTTCACTTTACATACCCACGAAAAGCCCAAAAAGTGAAAGAAAGCTTAATGATAATGTTTCTAAAACAGTCCCTTGTTCAGAAGCTTTTTCATTACCAGACATAAGAAGAGCTTTGTTTGAAGAAAAAGATACTAAAATAAATGTAGCTAATATATTAAAATCGACTGAAGAAATACGAGAAAATGCTCGAGCTAGAGCTAGGTTGAAGAGTGACTCAGAATTGGGGATAAGTCCTGAAGATAAGATAAAACAGCTAAAAGAAAAGTTAGAACGGCGAAGAGCAGTGAAAAGTGAATGTGATGGAATAGCTATACTATCTAAAAGCAAAAGTTGTCAGTCACTAGATGAACTTGATCAAGATCTTCCAATGGTAAGATACTTTTAAATATCTAGTTTTAATAAAATTTGATCTTAAACTATTAAATTCTTTGATAGCTATGTCTAAAAATATCTATTATGAAATAATAATATTAATTATTGTTATAACTTAAAAATGGGTATTATCGCATCAAAATAAATAAATAGGAATATAATAATCATTATCTTTATTAAGTGATTATATTTTATAAATAATTTTAGTGTGAAACACCTAAAAGAAATATTCAAACAAAGATTGATCGACCTGAAAGAAAGCGAAGTATTACTCAAGCTGTTATGGCAGCTATTTTTCAAAGAAAAACTCCATCTCCTAACAAAAACTATTCTCCATCTAGTCAACAAACATCACCTTCTAAATTTAAGTTTCTTATAAGTGGGAAAACAAAAGAAAAATCACAGGCAAGTACTTTTATGATCGTTAAATAAAAAATATTGTTCTCAAAATAAATTTATATTTCTTTATAAAAATATAGAATATATTTTATTGAGCTCCAAGCAAATGTTCATATATATTAAGAATTTAGAAATTTCTAAACAAATATTTATATAAATTACATGTAATTATTTCTTCTTCCAGTCAGCTGATAATATCACTATACTCAACAGAGAACATGTATGTTAACTTTTTTTTTTTTTTTTGAGTTATATTTATCTGTTTGTGTATTAATATTGATTTCTTGCATGGTTGGATTTTATTATTAAACTTATAGTCTTTTTGTTCTATTATTTAACAAAATATTAGCATATTTATGAATTATTATAATTAATATAATAATATAGAATCTTAATGACCCATCCCTTCCAAATTTTTCTTTTTAATTGAGTTCAGTTTATTACCACAACATTTTTTTGCAATAACTTAACTTTTAAAAACATTTTTTTATTATTATTATTATTATTTATGTTACTGTTGATATTATTTGTTTTTTATCTGTTTAACTAATTTGAACAAGTACCTAAGGTTTAATTGCAAGTTAAATTAATGAAAAGTAATTTGAGGATGTTAAGAGTACATGATTTTTGGATATTTTACATATATGAGCGACAATAAAAAGTTCAACATTTAGGTATCTGAAACAAGCACAATAGGCAGGTACTTGCCTACCTAGCACCCACAGACATGTTCTAATCTTTTTAAAATATATTGTATTTAAAATTATGTAATCCTTCATATTACATTAAATAATAAGTTTTATTATTTAATATTATTGTCAAGTTTATCTAATTAAAAAGATATTAAATAACAATGAGGTAAAAATAATTGAGGGAGTGGTTGTAGAACTTAAGCTTAAGTTTCAAATAGTATTTACCCTTATGGTTACTAATCATAATATAGTTTAAATGTATAATTAAAAAATCAAGTTTTTTTTTTTGTATTTGCTTATTGTAGTGCAAATTTCAATATTTAGTAGTTTTTTATTGACTATCAATCTGAAGGCTTATGTATAACTTCATTTATAAATAGTCTTAATTAAACAAAATTATTACCTAATAATGCTTATTTTTAGGAAAAGAAGTTTAATTCTATGACAGTAAATAAACCTGTACAACTAAAGTGTAATAGTGAGTCTGAAATTAGACGTCGCCTAATAGATTCTCTCGCTCCTCCAGTACCTCCATTACCAGCTTGTTACAAAGTTGATAGTCAGAATCTGAAAGGTATGATTTATATTTAATTAAATTAGTATAAGTATAATAATGTAATATTAATATTTTTTACTACTTCAGAAAATATTGATGATAATAAATCCAAAAATCATCAATTTGATGAAAATATAAATGACAGCATGTTTAGCAATGATAATAGATTGACAAAAACAGAAATTAAAATTGCTCGTGCATCTCAGCGTAAAAGGTATTAAATTTTCTTTAATATCAATTAAAATGTAATTCAATATCTAACTGATTTAAAGGTTAAGAATTGCACAAGAAATTCAAAGAAAATTAGAAGAATTAGATGTAAAACTAAAAATATTAGAAGCTGAAGGTGTGGAGGTTGAAAAAAGGTTAAGGGGCGAAGGTAATATAAAATAAATATTTTATTAAATACTTTTTGTTAATTAATCTACTACAACATTATTATAATTAGAAACACCTAAGTACTCAGAAAGTTTGTATTCTTACTTTTTAATAAAAAATGTATGAGGAGTAAAATTTGATTAGGAAAATTTTATGATAAGCTATGTTCTTATAAATTGTAGTTAAGTCTTTGATTGAGCACTTATTACTTTAAAGATAAATTCTAAAATGAGTGTATTCACAAATCTTAAAACATGAGTATAACTGAAAATATTCCTAATAGTATTTTATTATTATTATTCTATGAAAGCTTTAACCTATTCAACAAATGCTTTTTTATATTATCAAAAAATATAATCATACTGTTTTTATAGCTAAACTAATACTCTAATATATTAGATTTTAAAATATAAAATAATACACTATACATGCAATAGATACTTGTAATAACTATTGAGTACACCTGGGTAACAAGAACTCAAAAGTTCATCTACTTATTAAGGTCAATTTTATTTCATAACATATTTTTGCTTATTTTAGGAGATGAAGCAACTGAGGATGAGCCATCTTTATTACACACATATTGTGAACTTATGAGCGAAGTTAATCGATTAAGAAGAGAGGAACGTGAATTAGGATTACAAGCTCAAGAATTAGAAATAGAAGATAACTTAGCACGTCAAGATACCTTAAATTCCAATGGTATGTTACATTAATATTTTAATTAGAAAAATGTATAAGACAATAATTTTTACTATTCAATTCATAAGTTGTGAAGAAAAGTCAAAAAAGAAAAATATAATTGTTTCAGTGTTTAATATTTTGCTATCTTATTACACAACTTATTCAATATTTTTAATACCTTCAAATGTTTATTTGTTTATTCAAAAATATATTTTTTTAAATTAAATAGAAGTATAAATATTTCAATGTTTAAACATAGTTGTATTTATTTAATTTTATAATCAAATAAGAGCGTTCTATTTGGAAATTAGGAAAATACATTTAATTTCCTTATTTTTTCATTTTACTAATATTATCTTCAATTTTAACTAAAATTGATGCAACAACTGTAAGAACTTATTAAAAATAAATAAAACACAAATAATTTCATTGCAGAATAAAATGACTCAATATCAGATGCCTTTTTCCCTTTTAGTTTTTGACAATCAACTGACCTCACACTTATAAATAGGTTTTCCGCTCATATTTTGCTGTAAAAATATCCATGACCCAAATAAATAATTTTTTTAATATTTAACATTTTGTTTTTATTAAAATGTTTGTATTCTAAAAATAACTTGATGTTTATTAAATTATTTCTTTTCTTTTAATTTTCATTTTTGAGTTCTCAAATAACTAACTGATTTATTTTACATGTTATAAAATTTCAGAATTTGATTTAAGTTACAATTATTTGATCCAGTCTTCACACTAAACATGTTCTTAATTCTAAATACTATAATACAATATTTCTACTTTATGTGTTCTTAATTATAATATATTTAACTTTTCCAAATTTATATGGTATATAATATAAATTAATTTAATTCTTCGGTATATAATAGTTATAGTAGTAAAAATATATATTTTATTAATCAAAAATAATATAGATCGTTTAGTAATAACATAAAAGAGACACCATTTAACACCTTAATTATAGAATATATTAATTTGGTTTTAACCACTTATATAAAAGATTTGAAACCATTTATTATGTTATTATTTTTAACCTAATAACTCTAGTATTATTTTGGTATATTTTTTTATAAATGAAAATAAATAAAACAAGTGTTACATTACTAATTATTTATTTATTTTAATGGGTTCATTTAATAAAAGATGGTGTGTTAAAGTTAAAAATATTGAGTATCAAATTATTACTCATTTTAATACCAAACAAATTAATGAAGTTATGAGAATAATCCTTTTAGAAATTAACTAATTAATTAAAACATAAAAATTATAATTTAATGATGTTAATTTAAAAGAAAAAATCATAAAAATACTAAATATTAAACTGATTCACAAAACTTTAATTATCTAAATAATTATTTAAATGTGTTTTTTTAAATTTCTATTATTTTTATGTTTAACTAGGTGCATGATAGGGTTCTATAGTAGGTATTATATTTTAAATTTTTAATTATTCCTCAAATACTCCATTATTACCTACAAAGTGAATCAATTTACTTTGATCCATCATTACACTCAACAAAATTATATCGTAAGACTTATTATTTTTTTAAATTTATATAATTTAAAATTTTCCTTTAAAAATTCTTGTATATATTTCCGGATTGTTAAAAAGCATCTTTAAAACATAAATAAACTTAAATATACATAAATAAAGTTTAAAATGTCCCTTAAGATCAATATAAATGTTGACATTTTTATTTTAAACATGTTTAAAACACTTTTATTAAAGCAGTGTTTTAATTATAACAGCCTTTATTTTAAAATTTTATTTATAATATTAATTTACATTTTTTTTTTTCATTTTCAAAGATAGTAAAAATATAATTATTCTTGAAACAGAGTAGTATTTGATGAACATTAATATTAAAAGTTTTTAATTTATATTAATGATAAATATTTGAGACTTTGTAAATAAAATTCATCCTATATATATGTTTTGGTTGAGAGAATAAAATTAATTGATATTGTTTATGATTTGTGACTAAAATATTTGATTATTTTTATTATTAATTGTAACAAAAAGTATGAAATTTAATTTGGTGTTGCATAATTTATCATTAATTTTTAATAGTCACATATATATATATATATATATATACATAAATACTAAAAGCTTGAGTATGTCATTTTTTTATTTATATTTTTTCTGTTTATAGATAACAACTGGAGTATTATTTCACCAACACATTAATAAAACAGTATCACAAAATAATAACAAAAGCTTATTTTTGTTTATATTATGAATCATATAGTTGTTGAAAGAATGACAGACCCCATTAACAAGAATTTATAGCTCACTTATTATTTAAGAATATTCGTATAACAAATTATATTGTATTTATTTTTTTATAATTGTTTTTCTTCTTTATAGACTATAATATATTATTTTAAGTAAGCTAATGTGTGATAGTTTCATTAACAAACAAGTAAATTATTTAATTCTGTTAATAGTATTTTAATAATAAGATCTTAAGCCAAAGCTAACATTTAATTTAATTGTATAACAATAGTGTAACAATTATATTTTTTTAATTTTTTTGTATAATCTGTGATATGTTTAGAGTTTTATAATCGATGGGCCTTATATTTTAAGACTAAACATTGTTCATCATTGCTGCACGCTACTTTTTAAAATTTCTTTATAGTATTATTCAAAGTATTTTTCGATTTTTTTATTTTACATTATAAAATAATAAAGCATATTTTTATTATTATGGTTTTATATAAATAAATAATGATATATAAATATATATATATATACTATTGAAAAATAAGCAATAATAATATTTTTAAAAATATAAAATAATAATAGTATTAAAGTCTAATAAAGCTGTTAAAGAGTATTAGAACAGTCTTAATAAAAATCTTTTAAAATAATGTGATTTAAATTTTTTAATCATCTCCTTTCAGATATGATTCTAGTGGATTAGGACCTCTTCGTTTTGCTAATACCGATGTACTGCTATCTGCTTACAAATAATAAAAAGTTTTATAATTATGTATAAATTTTATAAAATAAAATTTTATTACTACCAGACTGTATTTGAGTTTGAACATGGTTTACATTTAAGCAATTCAACCATTCTGTTAAACCAATGTTATTGTCGTAATCAACATCACAATGTCGAGGAAGTTTCTTTCCACATTGTTTTAACTTGCTGTCAGAGGACATTTCTTCTCTGAAACTTTTCCATTCTTTACGCTCTAAAACCTATTTATTCATTAAATTTTAATGTTAACTAATGGTAATAAGCTAAGTTTTTATTACTTTATTGTGATTTGTATCTAATGAATGGAAAATATCTGTTATTATAGCTTCATAGTCCGAGTGTGATGAATTGTTTTGACTAAAATTTTACATTAGTAATAAATTAGTATCTTGTTAATATCTTATATCTGACTGTAGTTAGTATACTTAGAATTTTAGTGATTAGGATTTATAACATTTCTTTAAAATAGAATTAAAATTTTTTATTTTAATCACTTAATATTAAATTTTTATTAAAAATTCAAAATTTATCTATTATTAAATCATCTAAAACTAGCATTAATAAAATAATTATGACTTAAAAATATTTTTATTAATCATCTCTCAGATAATTAAATAACTAACTTGTGTTTCTGTTTTAAATAATTCATGAGATCTTTTAAGAAAATAGTTTTTTTATGGTCTGGACATCCTTTCATTGGTCTAGAAATTTCTGGTACAGTATCACACTTTGGGTTTGAGTCTTTTACTGAAGTTCCTGGTATAGGTTTCCCATTATCTTCTTGGGCACACCAACAATAACCTACACAAAAAGTATCGTAAAATCTAAATAAAAATTGTTTTTTAATATAAAAAATTAACTTTAATAACTTGCCAACAGATTTATAACATTGAACACGTTTGTATCGTCCTTCTGATGTACATTCTGGAATATATTTGTGGGATGATGCTGAGGGGTCATCTAAAGCTTCTTGTCTGTCTTTTAAACAGTCATTAACTAAAGAAAGAAGGATAGTATAGGTATTTTATATATATATATATATTATTTTATTTAATCAAAACTAAAATAAAGTCTTAAAAGTGTGCTCAAAAAGTATTTAAGCATGTTTTTACAATACAAATTAAATACTATAAAACATTCATTGTGCATCATATAACTGAACAAAATACATTATAACTTCTTTATACTTATTACTTCTATTTATTTAACTATTTGCTTTTTAATAGGGACGGTGTGCCCGAGTGTAATGCAGCAGTGCCTGATATTCACTGTCTAGGGTATAAGACTTGGTCATGGGAGGTTCCATTTTCTGAACTAATTATCATTTTAGTAATTAGAGTTCCCATCCCTTTCTCTGGTAATGGTCTAACCACTAATCCCGGAGTATACAAGGTTAAAAAACTTCCTATTAGAAGAGCACACTCAATTGCCCTTAATGGGTAATAAAAAGCATTTCAAAAACATTTGATTTTTATGGTATTAATTACTTTAGTTCTATTTATAAATATGAATAGGAATCATAGAATGTATTTTTTTTAGAAAAATAAGAAAACAATTTTAAACGCTTATATGTTTAAACTTTTTGTTTAATAAGAAATAAATTTTCAAGTTACAGTTATTCATAAACATTTATCTATAGATATATGAAGAAATATTATGGTAAATATTGGATCAAAATTGCTTTAGTGTATTGTTTAATTATATTCTAATACTTAATAAATAAGTACCTTCAGATTCTTCTTCTTGGTCTCCTTCAGCCATTAAACCAGGTAAGCTACCACTTAGAGTAGCTACACTTTCTTGTAATACTAAAATTAATAAAGCATTAGTTAATAAAATTAATTTTATAACACAGTCTATTTACTATCTTCAGGATCTGCTTCTTCTAGTCCAATTCCGCCTTTATCTTCATAATCGTCAATTGGCGCAGAAGTTGTAGTAGTTGTTGTAGTTGTAGTAGAAGTCGTAGTCGTTAACTTTTTACCCAGCGCTTCCACTATTTCATAAAAATATAAATAAGGATTTAATTAAAATTTTTTAATTTGTTAAGAAAAATTATCTTACGATCAACAGTTAAACAATTAGTCCATTCAAATTTTGACAAAATATTGTTATGGTCTATGTCGCACATGCGCACGAATGACCGAGAACATCTTTTAGGTCTAACTACCTTACGAACCAGTCGCTTAAGTTCTCTATATTCAACTTTAGTCAAGTTATTGTTCCTGTCATTATCTAATGTATTGAATTTCCATTCTAAGGCCCGTTTTTCTAAAACGCTCGAATCTAACAATGAACGATCGCCACCTAAAACGTAAAATGTATTAACTGAGAAATTGTGGCTATTTGAATGTTGTAGGTAATAATTTTTAGGTGTACATTTCATACGGGATAGCAATGAGCTAAGAAAAAAATGATCTTATCATCATATAAAAAAATTAATTGATAAAAACAAGAACCCTAAATGTTCTTAAGTAATACTTTTGTTTGAATTTTTTACTTACTGGTGGTAGCTATAGCTGTGTATTGTTCGCGGTTGTACTCTGTTTTAAATATGCGCACTAAATTATTTACGAAAGCCGCTTTATCACTTTTGCTGCATTCTGTAAAATCATTAAAACTGTAATGAGCAAGTTGTCTAAACAAAACATACAAATTGAAGTTTGAAATATCATAAGTTATACATTAAAATGAAGGCAGTTCTCAGTTAAATGATCAATATTTAAAAATTTGTCCAGTCTAACATGCCATCTTAAAATTGAGTCATTATTAAGCGTCAAATTTAACATCAAAATGAATTTTTATACCTTTGGTAGGGTTGGTTCCTTTTTTTGACGATCCTCTTCGCCATTTACCTAATTGATTTAAAAATTAAATGTCATGTTTTCCGATTGGACACACATAGTTTTTATTTTAAAACGTACCTTTGCCACCATCGCATTTCGGTTTTTGTCCCCGTACAATAGTGTTGGGCACGACTTTTCCGGCTGGCGTCACGCACCAACAGTACCCTTCTTTTTTATGACACTGGATTCGGAAATAAGTACCGTCTGCCTTACATCTGGGCACATACGAGTCCGGCGTTCTGTTCGGATCTACCGTTTTTATGGTCTGGTCCACCCAACAAGGCTGCTTTTCTACAACATAATATGATCTGTGAATAAAATTTTTTTTAACACAATCGACCAAAATTAACTTATAAAAGTAAATAATCGTACAAAATTATACTGTACAGTAAAACGGAAGTGGAAATTAAAGCAATTCCCGTGTTTCATTATAGACTAGTAGTTCGCCGGAATTGATTATTAACTCGATATAGGAACTGTATTGTCACGATTCAGTTATTTTTATTTGTTTGTTTTTTAAACAAAAAAAATTTGGTTGCCGAGCAAAACGTTATAACTGAACATTTAGCATCCCGAGTATGGTCATTGGGTATAAATTCAATGTGGAGGCCACCCGTTGTATGTTATTCGTAGGTACGCACCAGGTACACAGGTGTCCAGCGTCCAGGTGGACGAATGTTTTCATTGCATACGTACAACAGAGAATTATTCTCTCTGGAGAATACAAGAACGAAGAGATTGCGATTGTTTGAGAGAAGAGAAATCGCACCTGCATCACCCGCGTTCAAATTTGTATGCGCGAAAAGAAATTGTGATTAGCACTTGTTACTAGTGAATACTAAACTTGTATTAACAAGAATTAACAGATTGTTAACAATCTTAATTGTTTCTACTGACTGAGCGAGTTAAAAATCATTATTAGAAACTTAATAATTATTCGACGAACAATTGTGTTTAAAAGTCGAGAGCTGTACAGCATTTCGAAATTCGAATACAGTGAACAACTTAACGTTGGCCTTTTAAGATCCCTCGCATTTCTGCCAGTGCAATCCAACGTAGCATTGTGGTAAAACATTACGACTTACCTTTGCACCGCCCCCTGTGCTTAACACGCAACAGAGAGTCGTTAAAGCACCGGACTCGAAGTAAGGCACACCTATTCGGGTAGCTCACGTTGTCGGTACCGCACACCGGTCTCTTGGTCGCCGCTTTTCTCCTTTCGCACCGTTCCACGCGACCTTTACAGTCGAACTCCTGCGGACACAAACCGTTCAATAATTAATAACTATTATCAGGCGGAATAAACATTATTTACTCTACTCTGTGGGTTAAGTGACTTGGGTTATTTATGTATTCCGGTTGGACAACGTGCACAACACTCAACAGTGTTCGATGAAAAGTAAACAACAATTGAGTGTCTACACGATTCTCAGAACCAGTCGACTACCATTAGCAGCGTGTTTATACTTCGCGTAACTGAGTTCGTCTAATATTAAATAATTACCTAATGTAATAGGCAATACAATTATTATTTATTTATGTAAATAATTCGTTACACATCCGTACGATAAAAACGAAGAGTAATTAAAATATCAAAAAAGTTAACCGAAGTGCGATTTTCGATGTACCGCTGATTTTTGACACAAACCTGCTGGACAGTAATTAATTTTAATGTTGTTCAAAGCGATGAAAAAAATATGTGGTGATAAAATTATTTCAAGAGTTTAAACCAGTAGAGTTGTAAAAATAAAAAAAATCCAATTGAAATTGAAATTTTGTATAGTCATAACGAGACCTAATGAAAACTAGTCGAGACTATATAGTGACTTAATCATAAACGCTTTTGACACAAGTATGTCAATAGTTCTATTAACATTTGGCTTTGTGAGCATTGAAGAACAGTTTTAGGATATTTAATATTTATTTCGTATCAACTTCGTCTAAGATAATGTCGTCGGACAATATTTGTTTTTTTTTTTTTTCATGTTAAATTTTATTAGTTTTCTTATCGATTAGGTATTCTATAAGAATAATAGGATTAAGACCTATACGGAGCGGTACCCTTATATGCCTCCTCCCCTATGGAAAATATCGCTACCATAAAGGGATGAACAAAAATAAAAAATCAGAAAAACTGTACATCACAAATTATGACGGCCTTTTAAAATTTAAGCCCATAGATATCTGGACGTGCGATCCCATTAATGCGGCCATTTTTTTTTCAAACTAAATCTTATTAAAAGATTGAAAAATTCAAAAAACTGCAGAAATTTCATAGTGATCAACTGATAACTTGACATAAAATCGTAATAAATTGTTGAAAGTAGTAGATAGTTAAAGACTTCATATTACAAATGAAATAGTGTGCTTGCTAAATTCTTTTATTTATGTGTCAACAGACGTATTACACATGTTATAGTAGACATACTCAAGAGGGCTGGTGGATAGGTCTAAATGAACTGTGAAAGATAAACCAGTTCCAAATATTTTTGCAGAGCAACGTTTTACATAGAGGTGCTTTATCAGTATAAAAAAGTGATTTTACGACAACCGGTCGTCGTCTAATAACATTAATTGGATAACAGCCACGGTCAGAAAGAGCTGCACGTCTGCGACATAAGTCCTATTACAGCTCTGTAATTTATATACACTTATTATATCTATATAAATAAATATGCATGTTATGCGAACACGTCGTACCTGTCATGCGTCTTATGCAGTGGCAAATGCGATTTCACCTTATAGCCGTACGCTCATGTACTGGTTTACATGGTAACAAGTAGCATATAAAAAACAAATCAACGTTCTTGACAGTTTTAAGTTAATGTGTAAGTATAAGTGTATACCGTATGATGATACTACATACATAGAAAATATTATCTCGTGTCTTCAGTTTTTAAGCGTATTTAAAAATCGTATGCGGTTTGCAATAATATTACGATTACCAGAGTGACGTTAAATTTAGAACAGATAAATTACTAAAAAAACAGTGAAGTCAACAGGGTTCTGAGAATATGGACGAATTAAAAATATACTTAAAAAAACGACCAATAAATATTTCAAGTGAATTATACCGAAAATGTAAATTTTACAATTAAATAAGCTTGTTAAAAAGTATTTTTTTTTGAAAGCAACTTGCTTTTATTTATTTTTTTCATTTTGAACACAAATAATTAAATCGGCGGCTTATGAGAACTTTCCTAACAAAATATCATATGACACATTCATAATCAGTAATCTTTGTTAAGTAGAGAGAAGTCTGAAGATTAGCTGCCGTGAAAGATCATTTAAGTCCAATTCGAATACATAAATGTTGTATGATATGATGTTTGAAAATCAATTGTTAGTTTTTTTTTTGACGATCTTGCGGAAATTTTATTTTGATTTGAAAAATGACCAATAAACTTAAAATATAAAGAGTAAAACTGTTATGGAATATTTGATTATGTAAGGACGTTTGTGCCATTGTTGTCGGACAAAATATTTTCCATACAAAGATGACCATTGTCAATATAGTTACCCCCTGATCTAAAAAATGTCTATGGGGATAAAAAAAAAGTTCTAAATTATCTTTTTTTTTTTAAACTGTTTTTGTATTAAATAGGCCAAATAATAGGGAATAATTGATTGTCTTGGTAAAAGTATAGCACTTTAAATAAGATATAGCAATCTATCCTCTCAACAACCCTAAAAATGGCCCATGACAACCGTAAAAACATTATGAACTTCAATTTTAGATGACTATTGAACCTGAAAAGAATTTGAGAAATTTAATGTTCCTTTATGATATCTTTCATAGATGTTAACTAGAGAACGAACAAAACAAACTACAGTAAACTTTTGATTTTTATTCAAAGCTCTTTAAGAATTACTCTTGCAAAAAATAATTCCAACTAATAAGAACAACTGAACATTAAGAGGGTTTGATCATTAATGATCAAATCTTACAATGTAAATTTGTATTATCTTACTGAATATTGATCATTTATTTGAAAACAATCTAATATTAATTATCTAGGATTTTATCTGGAAGAAAACAATAAATAACTTCGGTATGGTTTCAATAGTCGATCCATAAACACGGTTGGGCTGTTTTAAGTGTTTATTAAACAGCTCTCGAATCCTTCGCACTCAAAACGTTAGTTGAAAAATAAAACACACGAATCGTCTCGCGGGAATACAAATGATTCTACAATATCGACGGAACAGGTTTTTTAGACCAATTAAGGAGAAGTAACATCGAAATGATTAGGATTTCGACATCGGAATGGACAAACGTTTGAAAAAACGAATCGGAGAAATACCGAAATAAGAGAAGAATATGTTTAGGAAAATAATCGCGGGAGTATTGGGAGGAGTTGGAGTTCGACACAAGAGAAAATAATGGCTTTCAATAAACAACTCGACAGACCAGGTGCATCGATTGCATTGTGAAGTCAACCCTAGACTTGCCGGCACCGAAGTATATTTTTTTGTTGTATTCTTGTAGAAGTGGACATGATTTTTTTTTTTTTACCTCTAGGGTTTTTATACGTACACATGTAACATTTATACAAAGGTGTTTGAGTCGTGCCCAATATTAGCAGCCAAGTGCGTGTGTAATGTTCTCGACCTCATAAAAACTATTTCAAAACAAGCCAGACAATACGTCGCCAGTGAAATTGGTGTCCCGAAGATACTTTTTCATAAAATTCAATTCAACACAATTCTATTCGAGTCGAGATAGAAACTATTCGAAATTCGATCAAAATAATTAACCCACTTTGTTGGAACCGTCTAAAATTTCATTCGTTGAGAAAAACAATAAAATTTATTTTATTCAAAGTACAAAACAAAAAACAGTGTCACGTCCCACTAAACTGTAACCTTAGGGGACGTAAAGGAATCAGTTGTTTTTATTTTCTCTGCATGAATATATCCTTGTGTTAATATAATTGTGTGCTTTTTTACCTTATGCGGAAGAGCAGACGAAAAGCCAGCTGGTATGTGTAATAACAGCATCCACGGGATAAGACCAGCGACTAAATGAAAGTTCATGACGGCAACCGACGTGTCATTCTTTTTGCGCAGAGGAGTCTGTAAACTTTACTTAGGAATAGAACTATGCACCGTGTACAGAATTACATGATTTCGAATCTAAAATCAAATATAAACTTTTTTAATATTTAGAGTTATTTGCTATTACTAATTTTATTTCCAAATGTCGAAAACGATCAAATAAAAATACTGGCATCACTTATCTTAGTAGTGGTAACGTAGAATTGTCTATAAAATATTTCAAAACTTAAATGTTTAAACGAATTTTCCAGGTATACAAAAATTCAATAAATCTTTTATTAATTCCGATATTCAAATCGTATAAACACGTATTCCTCTCGATTATTCTCTTGTGCTGTATTTTTTTTTTTGTTTACTTTCAAAGTTTAATTTTACTCAATTAGTATTAGTTTTTTGTTTTTTTTGGAAAAAAACGGTGTTTACAAATCTCAATCGACATTATTATTAAACTTCATAGTATAGAAAAATAATACACATAAAATATACACAATTAGATATACAATTAAAAAAATAAAATATTAATTAAAGTTAAATTAAAAACTTAAGCTTTTAATTAATCAAAATTAGTCAATTAGATATCAATGCGTTATGTTATAACAATGTGCACATCAATAAACAAGACAGTCATTATAATTTGACTTTACATAAAACCTTCAACAGTAACTATGATAATAATTTACTTCCCTTTGACTAATTATTCGAATACTCTGTTGTAAACATTTTCTCCTACTCGGTAAAATATCTACAATGATGTGTTAACCAGTACGATGAATTTAAACAGCTATTAATTAGCGAGATTTAACACCAAACTAAAAAGTAAATTAAAATGAGAGCGGCTTTGTATTTACTTTATTTTCGCCGTAAAAAGCTTACATTTTTGACACGCTGTTGAACTTGTCAGCGAATGGTGACGAGTCGCCCGGCAAAGTCGATAAACACATTCACTACGACAAAAGTTAACTGTGTTGAAAACGTACGAAAAACGGAACTCGAATGAACACCGTCTCGGTCCGATATGAGAACAACGAGCGACCCGAAGCAGAACCGACCGACCTGCGAGCACAACCGTATGCCACTGTTGCTTTGGAACGGGTCCGGCGACGGTGACGGACCCGAATGTTATACTAACATTACTCATATGAAAAAGGTGCACTGCGGTGGTGAGGCGTCCCATAAGCGTCTTGATGTACGGCCGCCAAACGTTAGGTATCGAGTACGACGAATTTATGTGCATCACCTCCCCCCTCCCCGTCCACCGGTAAAATTACAATGTGTCTGTGCGTACGAGTGATTTTCGCGGTTAATTCTCCCGGACACCGAACGCAGTTCTCTATATTATTATTATTACTTTTGTTATATTATTATTACTTGTTTTGACGTACGTACCCCGCCCGCTTCTTTAGATCTTTAGTTGTGCTCAACAGTTTTGACCCTTTTCATCGAACCGTACTCGTTCAGGTAATACATGAATAATAATGCACAGCATATTAAATGTATAATAAAACTTTAAGTGTAGATTTAAAAACACATACGGTTGTATTTTGTAGACACGATGCGTTCGGAACACGGTTACCAAAATTTCATGATTTCCGACCGCGTTTCAATTTTTTGATAAAAGCTTCTTTATTTTCAGTAGACGCAGCTCAGTTAGAACAAATTTAATATTGTGACGTTACTCGATTTGACGTTGGTCGGATAATAGGTGAAAAATTCTGTTGTTTTATTCATACGGCATGTTATTATTACAAATTAATTAACTATTTTCAGTCGTTGATAAACAACCACTGGCATTTTTTACTAAACTGTTACGCGCAAAAATTACGATATTCATTTACATAATTTATTACTGTTTTACATTTAAGCTTATTTATTTGTACGAGCAGTTGTAACTATCCGGTTTTATCCAAGAGCAACGAAAGCGGTTCTACCCAAGAGAAAGACGCAATTTAACTGTACGGATAATTTAAACTGTTTATCTTAATGTATCTCTGGTATAAAATGTAATATGTATTTTACTTAGGATTTATTCGGTTCTAATATTATTTTTTTGCTGTGGCGCCAAACCAAACGTTAACATGACATTTGTCACAGTCTGATAATGGGACGACCAACTCGGGTAGTCGGTGCACTGTATACGCGTAGGCAAATATGCAGAAGAAGTCATCATTTGATTGCTGCCGTCAGTTGTCTAGTCGTCTAGACAAACCTAAAATTGACAATGAGAGTAAAACGTTTTGCCAAAACCCATCCCGAAGACCTGGCAAGAAAATTCTAAATGTGTATTTAATACTAATGTTGAACTATGATAGGAGTACTGCTCGTGAGAATACATATTACATATAGGTCACATATATCATGAAAAATATTTTCTAAGCGGTTTAACAAATTCAATGTTATTATGAACTATCAAACAAGATTCAATTGACCTCAAGATTCAATACATACCTATATCTTCATAACTATTTATAACTATCTATATGTTTGAAAATAGTGCAGATCGGCGGCAGTTATTAATTAGTTCTGTAAAACGCGTTGATAGTATAAACTTATACATGTCTTCAAAATTATATCTACAATTTAATTTTAACTTCTCTTAAGTAGTATAGACCAATACTATTACAATTGGTTATTGTGCCATTTTTAAAAATGTTTTTTATTTTTGAAAACTTGAAATCAATAACGTAGACAGTGTCAAACAATTATAGAATACTTTAACTAATACAACATTTTTATTAATTATTAACCAAGTATTTAATACTTGATTATTGACAATTTTTAATTCATTTGTTTTTAACGTATTATTGGTGGTTTCCCACTGTATTCTAAATTACTTTAATTGTTCAAGTTATAAATATATATATATAAATATGTTATAGAGCCATAACTCAATTTATTCAGAGAAAATGTTATTCACTAAGTTGGGTGTTCATTGCTTGTCATGCATGTATGAAGAGTATATATAAAAAAAAACTTTTTAAATGATTACAGTTGATATCATAATATGAAGCTAACTCACTGTCAGCTATGATGAAGCAGATCCTTAAGAAGTGTCAGATAGGTGTTGATATCGTGAGATCAAAACGTACAACGTACCAAAACGTTAGGGTTTGTTTTTAACAGGAGTTGGATTAAAAATAATTTTTGTTACACGTTTAAATATATTATAACTTTATCTTATAATTAAATTCAACGTTATTCAACATTTATGGAAACTGATAGAAATTTTATATAATTTTTTTGTTTTAAGTTTTTATATTTCTATATATGACTTTAAACATAATTCAATATCATAAGCAGTTTTTAAGATGAGCAAATGACTACTTTTTTCTTACTTACAATTTTTTTAATATAATGTTTGAAAATAAAATTGATTTTCGTTTTAATAAGAATTATTTTACGTTAGACGTTATATTATGTTTAACGATAATTTACGTTTATTGATACCAAGTATTTATTGTTTTGTTTTTAATTACATTTTGACAAGAAAGTTATAATTATAAATTATAACTAGAGGTCGAAATTTTACCCTTTTGCATATATTTTTGAGGTATTCGCAGAAAACCAGTGTTTAAAATAACAACAAATTGTGTAACGTTTAATTAAGCAGCAAATTATTTTTTTGTATAATTTAGAATACTTCATGATAATCAATATTTTGCTTATAAAGTAATATAAGAGAATATATTGATTAATTTTTTAGAATTTCAATGTTTTTTGTTGTGTAATAAGTTATTATACAACAAGAATTTGTTTAAGAAAAGTTAAGTCATTTATATAAAATAATTCAATTTTAACAATTTTATTTTATTTTATTCAAATTTACAAAGTAATAAAAATTTAGTAAAGTACTCATATTCTCAGAAACTTTTGAAAATTTTCCTTTTTTATAAAGAGAAAAAATATTAAGCTAAAAAATTATTTTACACGTAATTAAATAATTACTAACAAAATTGTTGGTAATTTTTTTTATATCAAGTAAAAAATTGGAGTTACTTACGTGTTATTGTAGACATTTTTAAACCTAATACTTTTTTCTTTAAAAAAAATTGAAATTTTCAATAGTTTCTAAGGAAATGAATATCTTGATAAATATACACATTTATGTAGATCATTCTATATAGAACGATTTTTTTAATTTTGAAAACAAAAGCAAAAATTAATTTAGTATCTTATTAATATTCTTTATGCTTATAAAAGTAGTATAATTTTAATTTAAAAGAATATGGTTTAATGAAACAATATCTTTATATTTCCTTATTTTTTTTAAGAATATAAAAGTATTTTTAATAGAATATTAGTATTATACTTTGGTTTTTTTAAAAAAATTATTCCGATCCTTAGTGATTCATCAAGTACTCTCAATGTCCACCAACGTCTCTAATATTTAACCCAGAGAATCTCGAATAAATTATGTTCATTTTATTTATAAATTGTTGCTGAGAAAACTTGATTCATTTAATTTTAGACTTATAAAAACTAAGAGACCATCGAATTATTAATCCAAAATTAGATCTAAATCTCTTTAAATATAATCCAACCTTCTTCCATTCTTTTGATTTTTAGGAGAAAATGTAAATGGGTCACATGTATTCATTTTAACTGTTGTGTTGTTTGGATTTGAGAGTTAGGTAAAAATAAATTTTTTAATCATATTCATAAAAAAAATTTATCATAAATTTATTGCAATCAATATAAAATGTATATAATAGCCGTGTATATACACGGTTATTAAACATTTATTAGATTAGACTTAGTTTGTAATTATACCAAGTAAAAAACTTGTCATTCTAAATCATTTTTTGGTAGAATAGAATGGTTTCATCATCTAGATGAAGATGTATGGACTTGAATCAATCATCAGGCAATTCATGTATTATGTCATTTCTGCGTTAAAGTAATTGCTCATGAATCATAATAATGGTCAATATCTTCGTAAACAAGATTCCAAAGGACCTTTTTAAGAGTTTAAATTACCCACAACGCGTATGGTTGTTACGTCTGAAGTAACGTCCGTTTGGAAATACACACTGTGTACATCAATGTCAAACAATTTGCTTCAATTTTTCTAGTTATCATCAATATATTACATGTATGTAAAACATAAAAAAAAGATAATAATAAAACAACATTTCTCACGTTTCTTCCTTCCAGGGAAGTATAGTCTTTTGTGTGATGCACGTTTATTATATATATATACACAGTTTTTTTTTTTAGTTAGACAGTTTTTTTTCTAGGCTCCAAGGTTTCTAGCGTGTGCGGCGGCGAAGCGGTTGATCAGATCATTCTTCTTTGTTCGAAACCCATATGCGCGTTTGTAAACGATCGGGACAGGTGACCAACAGAAAGAGAGAGAGAGATAGATAAAAAAAGAGACGAACACTAGGNGCGGCGAAGCGGTTGATCAGATCATTCTTCTTTGTTCGAAACCCATATGCGCGTTTGTAAACGATCGGGACAGGTGACCAACAAAAAGAGAGAGAGATAGATAAAAAAAGAGACGAACACTAGGGATGGGGAAGGAGAGACAAGGGAACGACCCGCGGTGTATCCTCGGCTCCGGTGTGTCTGGGTCCGACGGTACGTTTGTCCGCCATGCCTAACTAACCTCATTCTCCTCGGACTTCACAACCGATAACCATCCCAGTGACAGGTGTCATATGAATATGCCTATTGAAGTGTGTGGATATAATAATATACACACACGCCGATACATCGTGATCGCATTGACGATGTACGGGTTTAGTCTCCACTCTCTGACAACTCCGGACCACAGATTTGTAAGGCGATGCGCAGAACTGGTTTCTTTTCTTCGTACAAATGCAATCTGGTAAAACCGTGTATATTGATTTTATCACTTTTTATCTATAAGTGTCTAAAATGGCAGTTTAAAAGCCACAAAATTTGCATTTATCTGCTAAAATTCGACTAAATTAATACAAAAGTAATGTAATTATTTCTTCTGGTTATAATCGGAATAATAGCCGTAACAACATAATTCTAAAAATTATGACCATACAGTTGTCAAAGGTTGAAAACAATAATTATTCTGGTTATTTAAAAATAAACAAAATATAAATAGGAACATGTTGAATAGTACAAATTATAACACTTAAAACAAAAAAACATTTAACATAATACTCTTGTTGTAACATTTATTTCTGTACGCCAAAGGTCA